GGTAAGTGTAGTTCGGATACGTGTTCCGGTTTTTTCCATTCTGGTTGCCGGAACGCCCTGTGGAAATTATTGCTCATGTAAGATGGTCTCTATTTCGCACGTAGTAGTATAAAATTTGACATGATTAAGGGCTGTAAATTGCTGAATGTGGTTAATGTTGATGAAGTTATTTCGTCGGGAAAGAATTTGCTTTCTGTTGATTCCTGGATGGGTTTCTGCTACGATATTGGAGCTTGTCACGAGAGAATTTGGATGTTCTGGGGATTTGAATTTCGGGCGGTAACGGTTGTGCCTTAAAGAGCTGGTTGCAGAATCTAATCGCTTATATATTCTCCTGTGCCTTACCTTTCGTTCCCGTGTTGGATGGGATGGTGTTTAGGCAGGGCCGGGATATTAGAGTCGTTGGCGGCAATTGCTTGTCGTGAGTGCGTGAACGTTAATAAAGATATAATAATGAATTGGTATGATTATCTATAGTTTACCTTCTCCATGATGTTGGAATTCTATTGGCGGTCGTTAAGTGGATAGTAGATCGCTAGGTAAGGTGCTTGTTCTGGGGGATTGACATCTTGCTGGTGCGTGGAACATGAGTGGTGGTTGGAAGTTTGTGGCCTGTCCGTGGATTGTTGAGGAAGGGTATACACTGTAGTTGAGATTCCTGTAAAAAGCGGTGATACTTCAATGTATTGCTGATTGTTACCAGAAATATGCCCCAATTTTTTACAAACACCACAAAAATGAGGAAAATCATCAAAAACCACCTCTTGAGCATACCCTAATAAATCAGATCCTAGCCAAACTTGTTTAGGATAATTTTTTGTAATATCGATTTCTACTAAAACACGGGCAATCGAGGGACGAGAGCCAACCGACGTAGCTTCGTCGATTTTCAGAGGTTTACCAAATAATTCCCCCAGTCCAAAAAGAATCCTCGGAGCAAAAAAATGCGGTCGGAGATGAGGAAAAGAGATCCATATCGGTATGATCGGCGACTCAACACCGATATCCAAAGTTGGCGTCCATTTCGTAATTTTCATATAACAATTGAAAACCAAATAAGAACGATGACAAAAAATTCTGCAGTAGTCCAAATCATTTTCCAATTTAATCAAAACATGGGTAGAATCCAGGACAGTAACTGAAACATCTCCATTCAACTTTAGGTTAAAAAAAAATTTTCTTATAGCATCAAGAGGAGGACGTTTACCCGGAAAGAAACCAACTAAAGAAAATCTAAATGGTTCCGCTAAAGCCCTAATTTCATCATCAGAAACCAACAAAGCAGGAAGTCCACGGAAAGTAGACCGTTTCAAATCAGGAAAGGAAGAAGTAGAACCAGCAAGAGCTTGGAGAAAGGACTTAGAATGAGAAACCCCCCCAAAAAACCCAGGGTCTCTCAAAATAGACGGAGGCATTACGAAACAGCCGGAAAAAAAGACGAAAAACCGAAGCTAACACCTAAGAGAACAAGAGAACAGAGTAGGGAAAACTTTTCTGAGCAAACCGACCGAGAAAAATGCCCACCGCCGGCGGGGAAAAGCCATGCCGCCACCCAAGAAAACCCTAGGGTTTTCTCAGAGAGCGAATGAGTAATCAAAATATTTGTTAAACAAACTAAGATTGTAACAATCTGCTTTTTGGTACTATACCTTGTTTTCAAGCTATCTTGAACTCAAATAATTTTCAAGCTGGATTTAGGTTTATCTAAAAATCCAAAATATTGACTTATTCATCATTTGAGTTCATATTAAGTTGATTAAATGGGTCCTACTAATTAAGAAAAAAAATATAATATATATAATAAATGGGTGAAATTAGCCGTGACCATGTCAGATGGGTTCCTTTGATCAATTCAGGTCGGATTCACAAATTTTGACGCCTATGCTAACCGATCTGATTTCAGATAGCCCGAAATTAAACCACACTTACCCCAAATTAATACCTAATAGTCAACAACATCAACACAAGAAAAAAATATTACATGTGCCTATTTAATGCGAAGAATGGATTATCGGCAAGCCAAGCACGGCGCCATGCCGCATGCGCCTATCCAACCATCTACCATTCAAAGATTTGAAAACTATTAGTCACGGCGCTATTATATAAATAGCCATCTCCAGCAGGCCTCAAATAAATCACTTCATCCAATATTTCCATTAACAAAAACATGGAAACCATCCTGGTTCCTGTCATCACCTCCATCCTCTTAATACTCCTAATGAAAAAGCTGTATTTCCAGAGAAAAACTACTTGTTACAATCTCCCTCCAGGGCCATGGAAAATCCCCATATTTGGAAGCATGCACCACCTTATTGGCGAGCATGTTCACCACAGGCTCAGGCGACTCGCAAAGACTTACGGCCCTCTGTTCCACCTCAAACTCGGCGAGGTGGATCTCATGGTCATCACATCACCAGAACTCGCAGCGGAATCCATGAAAACTCACGACTTGAGCTTTGCTTCTCGGCCTCAGTTCATGGGAAGCAAGATCATTCTCTACAACTCCGGCGACATTGTCTTTGCTCCTTACGGCAAACTGTGGGCGCAGCTACGTAAAATATGCACGATTGAATTGTTCAGCTCGAAGCGCGTTAAGCATTTCAGATCCATCATGGATGAAGAAGGTAACAATCTCATTGAGAAGATTAGAATGGCTGATGGAGTCCCGGTGAACATGACAGAGATGCTTTTATCCGTCGCAAACACGACTATTTCGCGCGCTTCTTTTGGTATGGAGTGCGCTCAACAGCACAAAATCTTTTCAGCAGTTAAAGACACGTTCAAATATATGTCGGGATTTGACTTGGCGGATTTATTTCCTTCGTTCAGCTTTTTGGGTGAAATTACTGGTATGAGGCGTCACTTAGAAAAAGTTCATAAAGTTCTGGATTCAACCTTAGATGAGGTATTTGAGGAACATCAGAAAAAGAGTATTAATAACAGCATCGATTATCTGGATGAGGATCTCGTTGATGTTCTTCTGAGATTGAAGAAAACTGGAGAGCTGGATGAATCGGTTACACTAGATAACCTCAAGGGCGTTATAGTTGTAAGTAGCATTTCTTCTTCAATCTATGAAATAATTATCCAAATCTTGCTCTTTTGCTTATTTATTATTTGTTGCATGTATGGCAGGACTTGATTTTGGGAGGAACAGAAACCACATCGGCTATTATGGAGTGGGCGATGGCTGAGCTCGTTAGACATCCTGAGATAATGCGTAAGGCTCAGTCGGAGGTGAGGGAGGCCTTTAAAGGAAAAACTAAGTTACATGAAAATGATATAACCAATCTTCCCTATTTAACAATGGTGATCAAAGAAAGTCTTAGAGTAAGACCACCAGCTCCAATCCTGGTGCCTAGATATTGCTCTGAAACAGTAGAGCTTGGTGGGTATACAATACCAGCTGGAAGCAGGCTTTTGATCAACGCTTGGGCTATAATGAGAGATCCAAAATATTGGAAAGATGCAGAGGCCTTTAAACCGGAGAGGGTTGAAACTGATGAGCAAGATTTTAATGCATCTCGTTTTCAATATATGCCGTTCGGTGGAGGGCGAAGGATTTGTCCTGGGGTGAATTTTGGTGTGGCTAGCATTGAGATTGTGCTTGCGAAACTTCTTTATCATTTTGACTGGGAGCTCCCAGGAGGCAAAAGGCTGGAGGAATTGGACATGGAGGAATCAATTGGCTTGGCCTTGACTAAGAAAAATCCATTATTGCTAGTTGCATCTCCGCATAAATAATTTACTAGTTTCTGTTTTCCTCTTCTTCTTGTTCTAATCAACTAGTTTTTTTTTTTTTTTATTTGGATGCTATGCCGTTTACTTTTGACTATAATTATAGGTCTTTCTAAGATCTTTTAGGTATTCCACTTTATGTACATGAGTTCTTTGTTATAAGTGAAGTACACATATGATCTATATGAGTGAATTTCAAGCTTGTCTTTCTTAGAACTTTGCATTTTTGATCTCATGGAAAAATTTTGCACCTATTTTGAGACTGATATGTGCCAATGCATAAGTTTGATGAAAACCATCCCAAATTAACCCTAAATTTATTGGATAACTTAGAAATGAAAGCGACTTCAGAAAGACAAAAACTTGGCAAAAGGATTTACATACATTAAATAAATTTCTCCAGCAAAATATGCTGATGAAATTTATAATAACAGTTACAGATTGATCAAAATAGCGCCTATGAAATAGATTATTTACAAACAATACCATTTTGTGGAATTGACTAACGGACTAGTAAATTTGAAAGTGAACGATTAGGACTTCTTCAAAGTAAACGGACTTGTGAATGATTTCAAAGTAAACGGACTTGTAAATTTCCCAGCGACGTCCAAATCAGAACAGCTAGACCTTAGACTGTGACTAGTGGTAATCATAAAAATAGTTAAAGATATCTTTCTTTTGTTTGAAGAAAAGGAAGGAAGACTGAAATTTGGGCACCGTTGTTTAACAGAAAATATATATCCGATTTAACATAATTTGGATCACATTGATTTTATTTTAATTTAAAAATTAAAACCCACTCGATTAAATAAATAGAAGCCAGCTGAAATTATTTTAATTTTTAAAATTGAGTGTGAATTTGATCAGGTTCAATTATTTGTTAAATTTAATTTTAATTTAAATGGATTGGATTTAAACGAAGCCAATTTGTTTTAATTAACACTAATTTGATTCAAATTAAATCGAAACGAGATGACCATCGTCAATTAATGCTGCCAACGTCGGATTAGGTTCGATTTGGTTTAATAAGTGTTTATTTAATTTTAACTAATTCAAAGTGAGTTAATTAAGGCCGATCGAGATCGTCGAAATCAAATCGAACACGAGTCAAATCAAATTGAACCAACATCGAGTTGAATTATGGTTCGAACATAGTCTGATTTAGTATAATTCATAAAATATCGGTGTTTATTAGCTCGTCGTTGAGTTGAATGAATTTAATTTGGTGTAAACTTATTCGATTTGAATCAAATTGATGTTGTCAAACCTAAGTCGACACCGTATCATTGGGCGTCCTCATAAGAGGAATCCTAGAGGTGCTTCGATCTACACTAAGGTGTACAGCCCTAGGTTCTAGGAGAACCATAGAGGAAGTTCGACTTCATCAAAAATGAGGTCAACAAGTACATGTTATCCGGAAAGATTCCAAAATGCAATTTGTATTCCTTATAACTGAGTAAAATTTTGATTTTAATTGTTGTTTTTAATACAAGATTTTTCACCCCCAAAGAAATTTTCATTTTAAGAGTTTTGGGTATATATAACTTGATTTTACTTTACTATTGCTTTCAAATGATTTATGGCAATAAATACTCAGTTAAATTTTTTTTTTCTAAATCTTCCTCTAGATTTTAATTTTGAAATGGAATTAAAATGCTATGTCTCTACAGTATAATTATTATGGGCTAGATTATTTGCGATGTAAAGTAGGAAAAAACTATGTCGTTTAGTACTGCATGAGTATCCAGCTCACACAAAAAAAGAGTAAAACACCATAATTATTTTACATGGAAACCTTGAAAGGGAAAACCATGGGGCAACGCCCAGTCGAGATTGATCCAATAGTATTTGAATAAATTACAAATAATTGATGCTTCCTCAAGCTTGAGGGTGATCATACTACAATAGTTGACCAGCAGGTTGAAATCTAGCGACAAGCATGAATCGGATGAAAATCCAACGATGGTCGCTGGACGGATATAAATTCGACGTTAGTTGGTGGGCATGTTGAAGTCAGGCAGTAGTCGGTGGCCGGGCAGAAATCTGGTGTCAACTGGTGGCAGGGTGGAAGCCCGATGATAGTCCGGAGATGATCGGTGGTCCGACGATGGTCGAGGAGGAGTTTGGTGGCAAGAGAACTCTAATTTCTCTCTCTTCCTTATCTTCCTTTCTTCGATCCCCCTAATGAAGAATGAGGGGCCTATTTATAATTTTTTTGGGAGTAGCATGACCAGTAAATATGAGGGAGATCAGAGGTATATTGGGAGTGGTTTGAATAGACAGCTCATATTGATGTGTTGTTTGTGGATTGTTTATTAGACATTTGAATGTCTTAATGATATCATAATTAAGCAATTTTCGGCTCGTTGGATTTGTCTTGTAGAACCGCTTGATTCGACTATAAGCAAGTCACGCTTAAAAATCGTTTAGTCATCCAATTTATGATTTGAACCTTCCAAGGCCGTTTTTAGTCTTCGATTTAGACCCATTTGGGCTCGGATTTGAGTCGAATTTGGTGTCGTTCGTTTCGTCTTTTCGAAACATTTAGTTCGACTATACGTTTGTAGAAATCAGAGTTACGTATGGTCCCAGATTTAATTTTAGAAGTTTCCAATTTGATCTTACCTCGAGATTCGTGCATGTTCAATATTTTTTTTAAAATCATATATCAATCATTATGTAAAATGATCGTTGTTTTAAAACTCTTTTGTGCCATATAATCATGAGAGGATCACTTGATTTTTTTTTCCTTTTAAATGTAGCAAATTGTAGCTATTTTACTGCTACATGTCAATGTGATGTAATTTTATTTTCTATGTAGTTATAAAAACGTTGCTAAATGGCTTTTTAAAGGACGACATTCACAATAATTTTGCAACAATTTTCTACCAGCTCAAGCTACTTTGTAATGAAAAAACTGCTTCCTAAAGCTATTTAAAATCACTGGAAAAGTCCTATTGTAGTGACATCGATGATGCATATATCAATATCACGGGCATGAGATAGATAGCATAAGTCGTAGCTATAATATTTTTTTCTTGGAATGGTGAATAATAAATCATAAAACACGTGGCCTTAAAAACAAAATCAGAAGAAATAAATCTCTTTAGCCATTTATTGGGTCTTGAGTCCTCTCACTTAACTATATCATCATGTTTTTTTTTTTACTTTATATATACACGTTTTGTTGAAATGAAAATTGAATAGCATTTCTGGTGAAGGATTTCCTATTTAAAAAATTAAAGAGTGGATCGAAAATAGTCAACTTAGACTTCATTTGGGACGACTTTTTTATTGCTTCTTAAAACAAAGTTTTAATTTTTTTAATTAAAACTCTATTTTAAGAAGCAATAAAAAGGCCGTCCCAAACAAAATCTTAGTTTGAACATGTTAACTATAGCAAGCTTTCTAAAACACGTAAATTATAGTACCATATATATATATATTTTTTTTTTTGAAATATTTTTCTATTGCAAGTAGTACACTAACATGTCACAAAGCAACAATCATTCATTGGGCATAATATCAGCACACAAATATTATTCAAATAACATATACATAAATTTTGCATAAAATATTTGAAGGCTTAATTAGAAAAACAAGACAGCTTATATGTAGGCAATGGAGGATTATTTATGTGGAGTAGCAAGTAGGAGCAAATCATTTTTTCTCGATACTGTTAAGCCAAATATTTCTTTCATATCCAATTCCTCAGGCCTCTTTCCCCCAGGCAGCTTCCAATCAAAGTGAAAGAGCAACTGAGAAAGCCAATACTCTATGCCAGTTATTGCAAATGTTATGCCTGGACAAACTCTCCTTCCTCCACCAAAGGGAATATAATCAAATTTAGTTCCTTTAAAATCAAATTCAACCTCTTCGAATCTCTCAGGTCGGAAGATCTCTGAATCAACCCAATATGTTGGCTCCCTCATGATAGCCCATGCATTGATCACAATCCGACTTCCTGCTGTTATAGTGTAGCCTTCTAATTCAATTGTCTCTCGGCAAAGTCTAGGAACTAAAAGAGGGCCCACTGGGTGTAGCCTTAGGGTTTCTTTAATAACATTATTCAAATAGGGAAGTTTGTTGACTTCTCCCTTCTCCATATTTTCCTTCTCTTTGAAAGCATTTCTCACTTCTAATTGAACCTTTTGCATGATTTTAGGGTGCTTAATAAGCTCAGACATGACCCAATCCAAAGTAGCAGATGAGGTGTCAGTTCCAGCTAAAAATAAATCCTGCCAAATTATTAAAGAATATTATAGTGATGAGATTTGTACTATATTAGATACTGAAAAATATGTTGATATAGAAATACAAAGTAGAAGGCCCTCAATCAAAATTCAAAATTTTGAGCTAAAAAATGGATTTGATTAGCGAATTTGGCCAAATTTTGATTCCTTTAATTTGATTTCACCCTCACTAATAAATTGACTAAAATCAATTAGCTCCTAATTTTGAGAATGTAAATCCTTCAAATGAACTTTAGTTTGTATGCACTACATAACATGAGACAATAAATGTAGATACTAATTAGTGGTGAATAGTGAATGAGGTAAATGCATGAACATAGGTGTTGATAATGGAACCATACAAAAAAAGAGAAATGTGCAAGAAAGTCAATCAAATGCTTGACCATTTTTTTGCATATATTCTTCTATTGATCTCTTTTATTGCTTACAATTACCTGCAATGTATGAACAATACCTATTGAATATCTAATCATTCGATTACATCGTAACTTGTTTTCCACAAAAAAAAAAATAAAAAGAGTTGTACTATATATTGGATATCGATGAAAAGCTTGGCAAGTTTTTTTTGCAAAAGCTTTAAGATTACCGCTATTTTAATGTAATTTTTATCAAGATATACTTCAGAATTGCAAAATTTATTTTGAGATTAATGCTACAACAAAATCCAATTTTTAATTGACAAAGTTAACAAATGCTAACTTTCATAAATTATTTGTATTTGACATTTCATGCATTTAGGAGTTTTTATTCTATGTTATTTTCCTATCCTAGAGTAGTCTCTCATCTTCTCTTTTTTCTGTCACCAAGCATGCATTTATTGATATAAATAGGAGCTCTAAGGAGTTTTTTTTTTTTGGAAAGGGAGTATCTACCCGCTGACACCTCAGCTTGTGAAGAGTATGACGGCGTAACTAATCCCTCGGTTGACCTTGAAGAGGCACCCACTCATACATAACCTCCTCGCCCGCACTTATTAGGACCCCACTTAAGAGACTTTGCCGCTCGAGGGGAATCGAATACGGGTTGGGGGTTTCCAACCGTACTCGCCCACCAACCAAACTAAGCATTAATGGATGCTCTAAGAAGATATCAAAGCTCACATAAATCTTGTACGAGCTAGATCATCATGATAAACTACCATGAAGGATCTTTATGATTTGCCAGGATACCGATAATCCATCAAGTGAATATGATTGCAGATCTTTTTTGTTATATTAATATTTTTTTAATTAGCTTTGACATGAAATTTGCATCGTGAACCACTTATAAGTCTAGAATATTATCACTTAGTCCGTCATGAAGCCCTACAATCCACCACCTTGAATGAGGCCATTGAGAAACCAAAAACTTTCAGTACGATTTCTCGCCACCAAGACAGGCCTAAGGCCACTAATTAAAAGGATTTTGATGGTTCAGATTAACCTACATAAAAATGCACCCATTACTATAAAAAAGACACTTAAATGTTTTTTTTTTCTTTAAACATATTAGCTATCCAAATTGGTGAGACCCAACACGACATCCAAAATTTAGATAAACTTTTACTACAATAGTTGGTTAAACTATAATAACTAAAATATGTGAAATAGCTTTATTTGAAAAATATAAATTTTTGAAGTAAAGTGCTTTGACGCTGATCTGGTGAGCGCTGTAGCACTAGACCATGAATAGTATTTTTAAAAATATACCTGCCTCACCCTGCCGACTCTCTCATTTGGTTGCTTGGCTAGAAGAAATTGAAAGAGGGGAAGAAGAGACAGAAGATAAAAAGGTCTTTGGATCATATTTGTCAGTCATTCATATTATAAATTTTATTCTATTCATTATAAGTGACTAATCTCTTACTTCTACTTTTAATTATTTTAATTTTTACAGAATTTATTTCTCATAAATCTATAAAATTTGTATTATCTCATGATTTCATAAGCTTTTATCATGCAAACTTGGATATGTTATATATTTGATCAATCTGAACGATTTGATATGATCAACTCCCATTTTAAATGAAATACTGAATAATAACATATACATGATATGATAACTCTATGTGATATTCTACTGATCCGCGTGATTGCATATTGATAGTCATAAGGAGCTGGAGATTGATTGAGAGTTATAAGAAGTTAGGGTGACTAATTCACGTGATTCAAGGAGAGTTATGAGGAGTACATTAATTGAGAGTTATAAGAAATTGGGACGACTGATTCATTAAATATATGAATATTGATATTGTCACTACTATTAACATTATACTAAAATAATGACTAATACTAATATTGTTTACTAATATTAATACTATTTAACATTATTGATCATGATATTAATATTATTAATGACATTAATATTGTTGACTTTTATTGATATTGTGGCTGATGATGTAATGAATTGAAATGTAATCAACAATAGAAGGAAAATTGATACAGATAATTAGTAAGATTTAGTTAAATGATTAAAATGGAAGAAATGTAATTCTTTCAATATAGATCATGGAGTGCGACACCGCCATGGCCCTACTCGATTATTTTGACCTCAATCGTCTGCTGACTACTATCCCTTAAATTATCATCACCTGACTGTGATCCATCCAACCACCATCACCCACCAACTATGGTCCCTCTAACCATTGTCACCCGACTACAATTTTACCGACTACCATCACATATTGACTAATGTCCCTAAGACCATTGTCGCGTTACTAGGATTCTTTTCACCTCCATAGGTTGTCATCTACAATTCCTCCGACCACCATCGTCTGATTACGATCCTTCTAACCTCTATCGCATGTCCACTACTTCCCATGCTACCACAATAACTTGCTAACAATGATTCCTCCAACCACCATCGCCTAACTATGGTTCTTCAAGCTTTTGCAACTTGCCAACTACGATCCCTCTGACCTCTGTTGCCCAAATTACTGCGCAGTACTTGGCGGCGAGGTCATGAGGGCCAGAGGAGAGGGGGCGAGCGTCTGCAGCAACGAGAGAAATGCGAAGAAGTGAGGAGGAAGGTTCGGGATGGGTAAATTTAGGGCGTTTTCCAGCGGTTTTCTGGCGGTTTATACCGTTGGAACAAATTTACTTAAAATCGGCGGCTTTGGTCATCGGTAAAGGTGCCGGTATAAAATTAAATTGGCGGCATAGCCCGCGATTATTATACCGCTGCTAATTCCGGCGTCGGTTTATTAAACACCAAAGGTTTTTACCGGCAGTCTAACCGCCGGTATTATTGGCGGCTATAGGACCGCCGGTATTATTGGCGGATATAGGACCACCGGTAATAGCCAGTATTATCGGCGACTATAGGATCGTAGTTGGAAAGTTGCAAAAGTTGGCAAGTTGCAAAAGTTTGGCGCTTGTAATACATGAATTTCTTGTAGTGAAATATAGTCTTACCAACTAAGTGAACATACCAACACTCTCTTAAGAATAACTCTCATATCATTAGATTCTTCTAGCACCAACCATGTAAAGTGCTTTATATGATGTATATTTAATACTTTGAGCCAACAATTTCCCCCATGGAAGGATAATAATTATAATTAACAACAAAAACTAGTGGACTCATTAAAATTGGGCAAGGCCCCAAAGTTTTTCCTCTTTTCGTGGGTTTCTACCTAAAAAATTAGGTGCTTCTTATTAATGTTGTACCCCTCTCTTTTGTCTATTTGTGTGTTGGATATTCAAAGCTAGAATACTAAACTTTATATCTCTTTACTACCGTGAATATTTCAGCACATGATAATTTGTCGTCGTCTGTGAGAACAACTCCTGACTAGGGGGTAACCTTTGCTGCAACCTCAAAAAGATAGTAACGGTCTAAAGATATATTAATCTTTTCATTCGATTCGAGATTCATGTAGCATTTTCCCTTACCCAATCAAGATATAAGAAATCATAGGGAAATTTGATTCGACCTCTTTCACTTAAGTTAATGTCATCGAGCAACGCTTCGACAAGCAATCTCGGATTAGTTAAATGTCCATAGTAAATTTCTCTTGATCTCTTCCATATAGGTTGATTCATATAAAGCTAGAATGCAAAACTTTATATCTCTCTACTATTGTGAATATTTCAGCACATGATAATTTGTCGTCGTCTGTGAGAACAACTCCTGACTAGGGGGTAACCTTTGCTGCAACCTCAAAAAGATAGTAACGGTCTAAAGATATATTAATCTTTTCATTCGATTCGAGATTCATGTAGCATTTTCCCTTACCCAATCAAGATATAAGAAATCCTAGGGAAATTCGATTCGACCTTTTTCACTTAAGTTAATGTCATCGAGCAACACTTCGACAAGCAATCTCAGATTAGTTAAACGTCCCTAGTAAATTTCTCTTGATCTCTTCCATATAGGTTGAGGTCATCAAGCAGCACTCTAGAAAATAACCCTGAATAGCTAAAACATTATTAGTGGACTTTTTCAATCTCTTCTACATAACACTTTGAAGCATCTCTCGCAACACCTCCTTCAAGAAAAGATCGGAGCCCCATAAACATTAGGCCTATACTCATTTGGCTTCATTAGTGTATTGCTAGATTGCTACCATCAGCACATCACCTGACCCTCTCCGTTGTGATATTCACTATCAGTCCCCATCAGCATGAATGTTTATTGCCTTCATTACAATGCAACTCAACCACTGTCATCATCAGTCCTTCGGTTGACAGTCATAGTTAGCCCTTTGTCACTCAACCACTGTGTTAGCTTTTAACCACTTTACAATAATCATCGGTGCATCACTAGACTACCATCAACAACACACCCTCCAACTCCCATTGTTAGCACAAATCCACGGTTAA